GATATGCAACCAAATATTAAGTGTTATTTATTTTAATCTACTTCATGACTTATCTGTTCCTATACTTTTGCTCGCCTAAAAATTGTGTGGTCTGATACAAAAGGTTAAATGTTTTATGTTGTTTAACACATCTAGATGTAAATACCAGGAAATAAAAGCTGAAATCCTAAACTCTCATCTCATATCTTTTGATATGAGATCTTTTTCATATCTCCATCTTTTGATCTCAAACCCAAATGGTGTATAGCACAAACAAATGAACTGACCATGCTCTTCCAGTAGTTTCGGAGGGGAATGTATACAAGTGAGTCAGTGTTAGAACAACTTTTCTTGGGACTTTTGACACAACCAAACTATTGTACACATTAAATTATGTGTACAATGCCTGCATGGAACAAAAGCACACACTGGCACTTTATTGGAGGGACTGTGGATGGAGGATGTGAGGTTTGATTGACTCCTAAGTCTGGTGGAAGTGGTTAGGTTGATTGATTGACTGATTAAAATGTTTTTAACGCTGCTGTAAATAAATATTGTTGTATAAATAAGGCTATTCCAAACTGAATTGTTGGCACATAAGAAAAGGAAAAAAATAGCATAAAGAAGAAGAGAAAAAGAGCTGGAAATTAGGGCTGCGCTCATGATTCTCACTCACAATTGTAGCTAACAATATCTGTATTTATTTATTTATTATGGATGCAATATTTTCCAGATATTTGTGAATGTTTCCTTGTCTGCATTTTGAATTACTGAAATTAAGATTTACTACTTAAGAATTAAGAATTAGTATTTAAGAATTCCTAATTACTCCCAAAAGTAAAAGGAAATATTGCAGTATTAATGGCTGGTAAAATAATTAGTCATTGTTTTTGTTCTTATTCCAATAGCAACTCATAAGCCTTTTGTGGCTTAAAATTGGTCTTCATAGACGTGCTCTACGTCCATGACTAGCAAGCATTTGAGCGAGACAGTGTGTGCAGTCCCCATTAATTCATTTAATACATTTAGACATCATTTGTTGGGGAAATTGGGAATTGAATATTCAGTTCATAATATTAAGCATTTGTTTAGGGCAAATTTGTTCCATGTGGGCATTTGAGTCATTTTAAAATTCCCCCATAACTTTCTGATACAGTTTCTCTCACTGTCTTCTGTAGACTAATCACACCTCAGGTCCGTACATGAGATCATGTGGTACAGCATTGGTCACAGCAATTAAGCGGGGGATAGTGGAGCTCTGTTTTATGTAATGGTTGCCTGAGTGCAAATGCTATGGAATCTATGCTTTAATTTGAGCTGAATTGAATTGAGAAATCATACTGAAATTTTTTTAAAGAACATACAGAATTGAAAATATAAGCCTGTGTTTATTTACTTCATGTCTTTTTCTTTCTATGTAGTATATATGAATACACAGAATCTCACTATTTTGGAGTTCTTAGGTCAACAAATCTCTCCTTCACATCCAGCACAAGATCAGAAGCCTTAGTTTCTGGTAGCTTTACCCTCACCTGCAGGAGACAGAGAATGAGTTAGTGAGATGTTAAAAGTAAAATAAAAAAAGGCTAATTTAAAATTAATTTAAGTGAGTGAATTCAGTCATTTCACAAGTGTATGTATAGATGCCGTATTAAAATGTTGGAGGATAGTGTTGTCAATATGTGTAAGGCTTAAGATGTTGGTAGGTTGTGATTATTATAATTGTGATAAACAGAACATACTAGCATGCTCTCACAGCACATGGAAGATGGATCCTTTTGGCTCATGCCCAGAAACAAATCCTCAGTACCCACACTCTGGCTCAGGATAATCTCATACCTACACACACATACTCTCATAATCACCCTTTCAGAAGCACAGTGCTCTTATACATTCAGTTATATTATACATGATTGTATCCTATGAGATCTACTGGTCCTTTTCTGCTTATATGCTACAATACACACACACTTGTTATGCAAGCATTAAACTTCTACAATATATGCAACCAATCTGACCTGGCCACTAACCACCTAAGAGGAAACCTCAATAGTTCTTCGGATTCTTTCTAACTTTCCAAATTGGTTCTTCTTAGAACTATTTCTGAAAAGGAAACTCTGTTGTAGGGTTCTATAAAGACTTTTTCTTCCCCCAGGAAGCCAATCCAAAGATCACTTTAGGTTACTAGATGAAACCTTTTTTTCCTAAGATTGCAGATTGGGCTTGCACTGTTGCATGTGTCTCTCCAAGACTGGAGCTCTAAACAGCAATTTATTCGACTACACACTATATACTCACTCAGGCTGAGGACGTGGATCTGCAAGGTCATCAAAGTGTGTTCCTTCAGTCACTTCCTCTACATCCCAGATGTCTTTAGTGTTCTTCACATAGGCACTATTGACTTTCAATTTCAATATGCGCATAGGTGGGAGAGGGAGAGAAAGACAGAAAGATTAAATTAATGAAATAAACCTTTATTGTCTTCTATGTTCACTATTCCCAAGGGTTCACATAAATTACAAATGATAAATTCAAAGATCTGACAATATGCAAATACAAATCTATCAGTGTTCATGTCAAACACCCTAAATTGTCTTAAGTTACACTGAATCAGAACCCCACTGATCTTAATACATCCTCCCGCTACACTGATGATAGAAAATAGAGCTCACCTGCATTCTTATCTTGCCTAGAAGCAGAAGAACAAGCACCAATGTGCCCAGGACCCATGTTTGCCATCAGATTTACATTCTATATAGATAAAGAAAAATGACTTTCCACATTAGCAATTTCAAACACTTTTTTTATTATTATTATTTATGATTTAGATTTAGATCCTCAGTAGTGCAAGGGGGTGCACAGTCAGGGACAATTCATAATGGTCCTGATTAAAGAATCCTGACTTTTGGTCAGGTTTCTACCATAATCCAACTTAACTGAACCAGACTCAAATGAGAACCATCCTCTTCTGGGTGACACCGGATTATAAATCATTACAGTATAGTGGTGTAGATGAGTGAAGGCAAACAATTCTAAGTCTATTGAAAGCGTCTTCTGTACACTGGGGGAAAAAATCCTGCCATAAGTACAGGAATGTCTTTGTGATTCCAACAGCAGATTTAGAAGGTACAGTATGCAGGTGAGATTATTCACTGAAGAAGGTGAGACTTGGGTATAAAATGTTGGGAATTAAACATTTTTAGGGCATCCATGTGGGACTGTCTGCAGCAGCAGAATTTGAATCACACGTGCAGAAGCTCCAAGCAGAGGAAGAGCACTGGGATGAATCCGGCAGGACTAGAGGGCAAAAAGACCCAGATCAGATGAAGTTTATCAGGATCTGGCACTGGCATGGTTATGACACATTTCCATTTTGAAATAGTGCAGCTCTTGCGTTTCTGAGCAATTGTTTACATTCGTCAGTACAATGAGACAACATCTTGCCCTTCAGGTTTCTCTTTTAATTCCTATATTTATTTATTTACTTATTTACATTCACTGTCCACTTTAATAGGAACACCTGTACACCTGCTCATTTATGCAGTTATCTAATAAGCCAATCGTTGAGCAATACACAAAACATGCAGATACAAGTCAAGAGCTTCAGTTAACGTTCACATGAAACATCAGAATGGGGAAAAAGTGTGCACTCTATGACTTGAACCGTGGCATGGTTGTTGGTGCCAGATGGGCTGGTTTGAGTATTTCAGAAACTGCTGATCTCCTGGGATTTTCACACACAAAAGTCTCTAGAGTTTACACAGATTGTGAAAAAACAAAAAACATCCTGTGTGCGGAGGGTCTGCAGGCTGAAACACCTTGTTGATGAGAGAGATCAGAAAATGACCAGACCGGTCTGAGCTGCCAGGAAGTCTATGGTAACTCAAATAAGCACTCTTTACAACTGTTGAGAGCAGAAAAGCATCTCAGAACACACAACACATCAAACCTTGAGGTGGCTGGGCTACAACATCAGAACACCACATCAGGTTTCCACTCCTGTCAGCCAAGAACAAGAATCTGAGGCCATCATGGGCACAGGCTCACTGAGACTGGACAACTGAAGACTGAAAAAAGACCAGTGATTTTTTTTTCTAATCTTCAACTGTCCAGTTTGGGTGAGGCTGTGCCCATGATAGCCTCAGATTCCTGTTCTTGGTTGACAGGAGTGGAAACCAATATGGTCTTCTGCCATTGTAGCCCATCCACCTCAAGGTTCAATGTTTTGTGCATGCTGAGATGCTTTTCTGCTCACTATGGTTGTAAAGAGTGCTTATACGAGTCTCCTTCCTGGCAGCTCAAACCAATCTGGCCATTTAAATCTGACCTCTCTGATCAGCAAGGTGTTTCCACCTGCAGAAATTTCTATCATTCAATGGTTTTTGTTTTTTCTCACCATTCTGTGTAAACACTAGAGACTGTTGTGTGTGAAAATCCCAGGAGTTCAGAGGTTTCTGAAATACTCAAACCAGCCCATCTGGTACCAATTTCCATGTTTCCCCTTCTGATTTTTGATGTGAACATTAACTAAAACTCTTGACCTGTATTTGCATGATTTTATGCATTGTGCTGCTGTCACATGATTATCTGATTGGATAATTGCATAAATTAGGAGATGTATAGGTATTCTTATTAAAGTGGATGGTGAGTGTATATGAGTTATATATAAAAGTCATTTTATTACTTTATACACTGAAAAAAAATTGCATATAGAATTTATGCCAAAAAGGGGGAGGGGGGTTTACTCCATGTTTTATTGAGTAAGGTTTAACCTATTTTAGTAAGTAATATCTGCAATGCACATGTGGTAATTCGACTATATATTTTTTAGTTCATCAAAACATTTTACCTCTTTACTTATTGCAAAGGTACTTTTAACATTTGAGTTGTTGTTCTTTTGGCTGCTCCCATTAGGGGTCACCACATATATTTGATTTGGCACAGTTTTTATGCTGGATGCCCTTCCTCCCTAATTTTATCCAGACTTGGGACCGGCACTGGAAGTGCACTGTCTTGTGTGGTTCCCTGGCTGGGAATTGAACCCAGGCCGAGGCTGAGAGAGCACCAAGGCCTCATCACTAGTCCTCCAGGGACCCACTTTTTCAAACTGTCAGTATTATACCTAAAGAATTCAGTTTGGTTTTTTGCATATCATATAGACCATGAATTAAATGTAAAACTTTTATTGATCAAATTCTCAAACTGCTACACAGCAGAACACATATCTCCCAAATAATCAACTTAAGATGATGTTTGGTGTTGTACATTAAACAGGCAAGTCTTAAGCACAAGTTCAAATCAATTTAATTTTATTTGTATAGCGCTTTTAACAATGTACATTGTCACAAAGAAATATATAAATTCTGGAAATAAGTTTTAAATTTATAAATGTATCTGTATTGAGTTGATTAAACATAACAGTTAAACATAGCTAATGTCTAAAGATGGGAACAAGTTATGTTGTTTCTTTCTACGGCACAAAACAGCACAAATCGAGCACAAACGATCGTCCCCGGTTAGAAGCGTTTTAGACGACGGATGGAGAGTGACGTCAGCGCTCCAGAAAACGTTCTTCTTGTATCTCGTGAAGGGAAGTGACATCATTTGTTTAACGGCACAAACCGGAACAATTCGAGCACAAACGAACGCCACCTGTTTTGGGTGATTTAAAGGACATGGGGTGGAGAGTGACGTCACTGCCCCAATAATACGTGTTATTTCCAAGTCAGGGAAAAACCTACAGTGATCATTTTAGCTGCACAAATCGAGCACAAACGAACGGCACCAATTTGATACGATTTGGACGACATGGGGTGGAGAGTGACGTCACACAGCCAAAAAAAAGAATGTTTAATATCTTGAACGCCAAACAGCACTAACGTTCATTTTTGCAATGAGGAAGAAACACTGAGAAGAACCAGTCTCAGAAGGGAAGGGTACTATATAGTCAAAAAGTGCAGTCGTGTAACCAGGAACTTATGAGCAACTTATGAATATGAGCATCTGAATTATTTCTGAAATCATTATAGTTTTAAGTTGAAGTCTATTTTGTTGAAGTTATCAGCTGTTTCATGATGGACACTTGAGTGCAAAACTGTTTGTAGCAGTTGCAGTCCTAAGCCATCTTTATGGTTTTTAAGTGGTACCCTCCACAGTAATCTCACTGATCTTTAGGCTGTCCATGGATCCATAGATAGATAGATAGATAGATAGATAGATAGATAGATAGATAGAGTGTTACTAGTAAATAGATGGAAAGAATGGGTGAAAGATAAATGGAGAGACAGAATGATAGAAAGAAATATGAAGAGAGAGAGTGTGTGGCACTGATAGAGAGATAGATGAAGTGGGAGTCTCTGTTACAGGCACACTGACAGAGTGAGAGGGAGAGAAGAGGGGCTTCAGGCCGTGTGTACACAGGTGTGTGTGAGTTTGACAGATGGAGTTTGAAATCTTGAACATTCTGGGCTCTGAGCAGTGTAAGCATACGGGAGTTTTTGGGATATTTGATCGTCCGCTACAGGAAAACCGCAAGTCCGATCAGTTAGAAAAGTCATAGCACAGGCTGAAGGTCTATGGTGAGTTTGGTTTAGAAATTTTGGGTCTCATCATCATCATCGTAATAATAATAATAATAATAATAATAATAATAATAATAATCTTATATAGCAGAACAGTATTTTGGCTTTGTCACCGGCTTTTGTCACCGTAACGAGTGGATCGCTTGATTTTCATTGTGAATTACTCTTGAACAGGTAAATCTAGTAGTAAAACACTGCATGGCGTTCATTTACGCGTTAGTCCAGCAATAAATTAATAAATTAAATTAAAATTATAATTTTCTATACCGTTAGCAGCAAAATTTAAAAATGTTAGCTAGTTTACCTTGCAGTCTTCTGCGTCGCTTTCTTCATCGGTTGGTAGAGAGAGCAAGTCGGAGAGAGCCTGAAGATTTCGGAGAGATGACAACTCCACCATTTTATTTCTATTACCTTTATGTAATTAGATGTATGGACTGTAAAAGTCTCAGAGGCTGAGACTACAGACAGAGGCTGAGCTGTCTGTAGAACTGTTTACCGTTTCCAAGGTGACTGTAGTCAGGGGTAACTGCATGCAGTGTCGCCAGATTGGGCGGGTTCCTTTTGATCACGGAGGACCAGGAAAAAATGCATTGGGAGGGTGATTAAATTCGAGCTAGTTTTTGACTTTGGCTAGTTTTCTTTTTAACTACAAACTACAATACATCTTATTTTATTAATTCTTCCATAAAATAGAAAATTACAATAAAATATCACAGATATAATATGTAATGTTGATGTTTCAACGATATAGATCAGTTTAGACAACAAGGTTCAGGGAGTCATGTCCAGTCAGATTACAAGCTTGTGTTGGCGGGTTTTGAATTCAGGTGGAGTAGTTAAGCAATATAATTTCAGCTTAGCTGCAAATTTATTTTATCACCATGCCAAAGTGGGCTAAATATAGAAAGTCCTACCGAAAAGAATGGGAGCGCGACCCATCTCTGAAAACACTGTACCTGTGGTAGGAGATGAGTCAAAGGAATTTTGCATGTATTGTCAATCAGAAATCAGAGCTCTGTTAAATGATTTAAAAGAACATGCTAACACACACCCACACACAAATCAATAAAAAATATATATATTAAAAAAAAAAAAAGCTTTAAAGCGTTAAAGCTTTTGCTGTGCCAGCGGAGCAGCTGTGCAATGTTCAATCAAGGATGACCAAAAGCGCCGTGAAATTAGAATTGCTATGTTGCTTGCCACACTTCAATTAATGCGGTGGACAATTTGTCAAACATTTTGCAAGATGAGATGGGAACATTCAAAATGCCCCGAGCAAAGTGCACGGTTGTCATCAAATCTCTCCTCCCGCCACACTTGAGAGAAGAACTGGTGGAGGATATCGGTGAGTCTCCCTATTCCCTGTATTTCGATGAAAGCACTATCATATCTGTGAACAAATTCCTCTGTATTTGTGTGAAACACCACTCAAAATAAACACAAGATCATCAGTACATATCCTGGACTTGTGGAGACAGATGCTGATGCTAAAGGCATATCAGACACCCTTGTTGCCTTTCTATCCCAGATCAGCCTGCAGATCACAATCATGATGGGCCTTGCCACAGATGGCGCAAGTGTAATGGTTGGAAAACACCAATCGGTTTTCATCCAAATCAGACAAATGCAGCCAATCCTACAGCTTATTCACTGTGTTTGCTATTCACTTGACATTGTTGCAAATAAAACAATGCAGCTTCTTCCCAGCATCGTTGAACATATGGTTAGAGAAACCTGCAGCTGATTTGCTCATTCAACAAAGAGGCAGTACGACTACAGGAATATATATGAAGACTATAAATAAAGGGCTGCCAACTAAAATTAATAGCTCCAAGCTGTACCTGTTGGCTTGTGATGGCAGACTGCATTGACCATATTGTGGAACAAAAAGACGCTCTCACACTGCACTTTAACATGGATTCATATACAGAACACTGCTGTACTGCATGGCTTTTAAAGGAGATGTATAACAACAAAACCAATATCCTCTACATGCACTTTCACCAACCTGTTCTGATGGAAATCAAAGTTGTGAATAAATGATTTCAGTTGGAAACAGGAGACACTCTAGGTGTGTTTAGAGACCTGGATAGACTGTACATGGCAACTCTAAGACGCTTTATCAAACCAAGAATGAATAATGAATAATGACAATCAACTCCAAGAACTTGACCTCACACCATCTAGCATATTCCTCTATCCTCTGAATGCGGACATAGGTATCACACTTCTAAAGCAACTGGAGAAAAGTAGGTTGGAGGAGGAGAAGGAGAGATGAAGGAGAGAATCGCATCGCGTTGCATGCAATCTGTGATGTCCACCGTAAATAGGCCTGGAGTAAAGGAATTGCCAATTCAGCTTTTTTCATGCCCGACTGATACATTAGAGGACTGTGGCATCAGCAGGCTTCTGTTCAAAAGTTTTGGGTTCTTCCATAAATTTTCAAAGTTAACTACATAGGTAAATTTTGAGGACAAACTTTGATGTTGACTTGACAAAGCCGGTCTGAAGGTTTAAAATAGTTATCAGTTTGAAGTGTGAAGGTAATGTGCAGTTTTAAGAAAGAAGGACAGATGGGTAGGGTGCCTGTACTTGTAGAGTTGATTAGATTGATAGGGTTCCAATACTTGTAGAGTTGATCAGATAAATAGATAGTGTGCAAATACTTCTAGAATTGATTAGATAGATAGATAGATAGATAGATAGGGTGCCAGTAATTGTAGAGTTAATTTGATAGCTAGATAGATAGAGACATAGTGTGCCAATACATGTAGAGGTGAATAGATAGATAGACAGGATGCCAATACTTGTAGAGCTGATTTGATGGATTGCAATACTTGTAGAGTTTATTAGATAGAGATATAGGGTGCCAATACATGTAGAGGTGAATAAATAGATAGATAGATAGATAGATAGATAGATAGATAGATAGATAGATGGATGGATAGATAGATAGATAGATAGATAGGCAATACTTGTAGAGAGGAGGAGATAGATAGATAGATAGATAGATAGATAGATAGATAGATAGATAGATAGATAGGGTGGCAATACTTGTAGAGATGAGGAGATAGACAGAAAGACAGACAGACAAAAAGATAGATAGGGTGCCAATACTTGGAGAGTTGATTAGATAGCTAGCTAGACAGACAGACAGACAGACAGATAGATAGGGTGCCAATACTTGGAGAGTTGATTAGATAGATAGATAGATAGATAGATAGATAGATAGGGTGCCAATACTTGGAGAGTTGATTAGATAGACAGGTAGATAGATAGATAGATAGATAGATAGATAGATAGATAGATAGATAGATAGGGTGCCAATACTTGGAGAGTTGATTAGATAGGTAGATAGATAGATACAGCCAGGTCCATAAATATTGGGACATCGACACAATTCTAACATTTTTGGCTCTATACACCACCACAATGGATTTCAAATGAAACGGACAAGATGTGCTTTAACTGCAGACTGTATTTACATCCAAATCAGGTGAACGGAGTAGGAA